ATTATAGTACAATCGTGATATGATTATACTGTAACTATAATGTAACTTTCAAAAATATCTCCATAAGATGCTATTTCGGTGAAGCTGAGGTCGTGGGAATGAATCATCTCACATGTGCGCGCGCTGTGAATCTTTTCCTTCCTCACTTGCACAAATTTTGAAACAAATCTAACGATTCAAAATTACATGAAAGTTACATGCAAATTATAGTATAATTATACTGCGGTACAATCCATGTATATCAACTTTTTAGGAGAAAAAATGTTAACAAATATATAGCAAAATTGCTTGTGTAATGTTTTCTAGCCATTGTTGGATATGCAGTTTATAAAAATCTTTTGCTCTATGCATAAAAAAGGCAAAACTCAGTTCTAAATCCTTCTATTGAGAAATGCTTCAAGCCATATGATTTGTTAATTTATGAGCCAAACGCTCCAAGCCATAATAATAGGAACATCACTAATAAGTAAGCTATTGTTGAATTAGTACCGGTTAACTATTTATGTTGGTTTTCATAGTCGAAAGGATTTATGGGTTTATATCATGGTATCTACGAAATATTAGGTCACTTGTATATCATGATCATACCTGAACTTTACCTTTTTGAGTTATATTAGGAGGCGTATTCACGATTAGTATATAAGTACGGGTTAATCTAAAAATATAGCGACATATTTTTAGGTAAAAGTATATCAAATGTAATTATAATATAAACCTAGTGTAAGTATTTACATATGTAACACTAGTACACGATTGATTTTCCTGGACGCTGCCCCCTTTTGGTTCTATACGGTTCGTAAGTGAAACCGTATGGAAAAATAGAAAACCGGCGCCAGGCTATCGCCCGCACGGGAAAATAAACTGATTTCCCGTTCGGTTCTATCCTCTTTTCCCTCCTATCCACTTCGAAATTTCCTCGGTACCCTCCCTCTCCTTTATTCTCTCACGCGTCACGCCTCCTATCCTCTCCTCCCTCGGTGACAGCGACGGCAGCGTGCGGCGGGTGTAGGCGACGACGACGGCCCACGGCGACAGCGTCGGCAGTGCACGGCGGCCGTGGAAGCACGGGATATGGTGGGCGGCGGCGACGACGAGGTGGCGCGCGACGATTGCGCCGGATCCAGCGGCGGCCACCCCACGCGCGGATCCGGCAGCGGCGGCCACCCCCGCGCGGATCCGGCTGCGTGATGGCGGCAGCGGCCGCCCCCCGCACGGATCTGGCGACGCGACAGTGGCGGCGGCCCTCGGCCCCACGGATCCGGCGACGGCGGCCGCCCCACGCGCGGATCCGGCGGCGGCGGGCACCCCCCATGTGTATCCAGCGGTGCTACGGCGGCGGCGGCCGCCCCACGCGCGGATTCGGAGGCACAACGGTGGCGGCGGCCGCCCCCCGCGCAGATCCGGCGGCAGCGGCCCTCCGCCGCACAGATCCGGCGGCGGCGACGGGAGCGGGCGGTGGATCCGGCCACGGCAACGGCGACGACGACGGGAAGGAGGCGACGGGTAGGGTTAGGGTTTCGTTTTTTCAATTTCGTTTTTTTTTTCGATTTTTTGTTTTTGCATGTGGGCGACATAAGCACCCGCACGCGAAAATCGGATTTTCGCGTGCGGTTGCGCCACCCGCACGCAAAAATAGCGATTTTCGCAGACAAATTGCTCTAGACGGGCCGAAGCTCTGCACGCGAAAATCTAAATCGACCGCACGGGAAAACGATATGTGTAGTAGTGTAATTATGAAACTTACATATATAATTTTCGAACTTACATATATATAGTGATTTATATTGTAAATACACTAAAATTACATATATAATTTAGGGATTTACAATATAAATATACATGCTGACTATTTTTCAAATATACATGCTGACTATTTTTCATGAAAAATATGATGACACATTTATAGCAAATCCGTATAAGGTTGCGTTCGAGAGAGCATGTTCGGAACGCTTGCCTCTTGCACAAAAAACGGAGCGATCCATTAGCACGTGATTAATCAAGTATTAGTTGAATTTTTTTTTTCAAAAATGGAACAATATGATTTTTTTAAATAACTTTCGTATAAATTTTTTTTTGAAAAAACACACTGAAATAGCAGTTTGAAAAACGTGCGTGCGGAAATCGAGAAGGAGAGGTTGGGAACCTGGACAAACGAACTGAGCCTAAGTATCTATGTTGGAAAAAAAATCCAGTTCCTTAATTAACAGAAAAAAATATTATACCCTTGTCGAGCACGGCGCGCACTGGTGGAGAAATGCTTTCTAGTCCCGGTTCATAACCCCCCTGTAGTCCCGGTTTTCCAACCGAGACTACGAATCCGGGACTAAAGATCGCTATCATTAGTCCCGGTTCAAATAACCGGGACAAAAAATCAATCTTTAGTCCCGGTTGGTGTTACCAACCGGGACTAAAGATGAGAGCATCTTTAGTCCCGGTTGATAACACCAACCGGGACGAAAGATATTTTTTCTTTTTTTTCTGCTTTTAATATTGAATATTGATTTCACACAATCCCATCCCATATCCAAATCATCACATATTACAGAACATCTCCAAATCCTCAAACAAACCATCTCTAAATATATCACAAACTCTTAAAAAAATTACATCACAAGATTCTAAAAAATTCATCACAGATTCACATCTCACACAAAAATACATCACAGATTCACATCTCAAAAAAAAAGAAAAAAAATCCGGCCGGCGGCCACTGCCGCCTCCCCTCCGCGCCGGCCGGCCGGCGCCGTGCCGGTCGCCGCTGAGCGGCCGCCCACCGCAGCTGCCGCCTCCGCACGGCCCCCGGCGCCGCCGCGCCGGCCGCGCACCGCTGCCGCCGCGCGGCCCCCCGCGCCGCCGCCGCCACGCGGCCTCCCGCGCCGCCGCGCCGGCCGGCCGCCGCCGCCGCCGCGCAGGCCGCCTCCGCGCGGCCCTCCGGACGGGCAGCCGCCGCCGCCGGGCCCTCCGCGCGGGGCAGCCGCCGCTGCCGGCCGCCAGCGCCTCCACCACCTGCCTCCGCGCCGGCCGGCGCTTGCCGCCGCCGGCCCTCCACGCCGGCCGCCGCCCGCTGCCGCCAGGAAGACAGGGGAGAGAGGAAGAGGAGGAGGAGAAGGAGGAAGAGGAGAAGGAGTGAGGAGGAGAACGAGTGGAGGGGAAGAAAAGCTAAGGATAAGACTGAGGAGCAGGGTCAGACAATGGACACGCGAAGAGATAAACATCGCGCTCGGCTTGGGGTGATTTTTAGTCCCGGTTGTTCTAAACAACCGGGACTAAAGATGGATCTTTAGTCCCGGTTGTTTATACCAACCGGGACTAAAAATAATTGGGGCCTGGCACGACCTGACAACCTCTTCAACCGGGAGTAAAAATGATCTTTAGTCCCGGTCGGTGTTACCACCAACCGGGACTAAAGATCAAAAAATACCCCTAAGTTTTTAAACCGGGACTAAAGATGCTTTTTAGTCCCGGATTTTATTGGAACCGGGACTATTGTGGAATTGGACCGACCGACCAAAGATGGTTTCTCCACCAGTGGCGGGTGACCACCCAGGCAGGGTTGCCTACTTGCGTGCGGAGCTGCTGGTGCCTGCTTCCTTGTCATCGAAAAGGAATACTCCAAGTGTTCCGAATCTTTTCACCTTGTTGAGGACGTTCCAAGTGTTCCGACGTTGTGCTTAGAATTGTCATCACTGACGTCAGCAATATATTCAAGAGTTTCGATATATCCAAGCTTATGGAGCATGTTGTGTAGTTACACACGTGCTACGTACTACATGCATGCATGTATCCGATATTAGTATATCTGAACATTTTTTTCTATTTATGGCCACAGAGAAAAACCACATCATAAAACATATCGTTCAGAACAATCGCATCGAGAATACATGTATGTACACTTGTAGACAAATTGTCTTAATTTTGAAAATAATACATTTTCTCGATCGGTGCATAGTTTCGTGCTTTCGATATAGAAATGGAGATGGCTCAAAAAATAATAACTAATTGTGAAGACGACTTGTTCGTTCAAAAAATAAAATTGTGAGATGACCCGCGTTGAATTTCTATGATATTCATCCATTTTAAATTTCTCTGACTATTTATATTTCATAGGAAAATGTGTACACACAGTAGCTAGGTATAGACCATAATAATTAATATTACACATGATTTGAATTCTCTGGGTCCATCCGGAAACGGAAAGCTTTCTTTTCCAACAAGGATTCGTGCTGGTAATTAACTCATCGTTCGTAAGGAATGCAACACTGTCATTCCTATGGGCGCAATGTTCCCGACCGGAATAACACAGTAATTCTTGACAGTTGAAATACGAGAAATTCGATAATATCTACATGCATCTCTCAATCAACTAAGTGTACGTTGATGTACGCTACCTGTATATATGAAGACCACTTCTATAGTTAATATAGCATCAGATAAACATTTTTTACTTAACACATAAAATAAACATTTATATATGCAGTCCATAATCCATTTACACAGGTATTTTTTCCAAGCTGCCCTATAAAAGTGCCCGTATATAAATCAAGGATTTGTGCGGGCGGATTCCACAACCGCTGACTCCCTTAAGGAACTGGCCATAAAAATAAATTTTCAGTTTAATTTTGTAGGCGCAAAAAGAATCCTAAAAAATATTTTATATTTTAGTAGACATGTAGTGGAAATGTTCATTTGACGAGGTAAATAATCTGAAAAGAAACTAATCCTTAGCTGGTGAGAAAATCTTAGTGGAAATGTTCATGAGATTATCTGGCATAGCTTCAACTACTGTGCTGTGAGGAAACAAAAGTATAGACACTACTGTGAATTCGTGATCACAATTCACAATAAGGTTAGGGTCCTTCCACTTTCCAATTCCCAGTTGCCAACTTGTTGGCAAATTACACAGACAGAGCGAAGCACGGAAAGATGCAACTTGCCCTCTAACTACACAACGTCTGTCTCCACCTATATATAAACCCTTCCATCTCTCCCCCACACATGCATAGCAGTGCTAGAGAGAGAAACAAATTAACCAAGAAATCCTCTTAAGAAGGATACTGACAGTGCACGCCAGCTAGCTAATCACTCCACCAGTTTCGGGGAAAAAATATCAAGGATTTCGAGATCCTAGCTCGCTAGCAGGTGATCGATCGATCGATCAATGGCCCTGGTGCAGTCGGCGCGGCGTGCCGCGGGGCCGGCGGCGAGCCGGCTCTTCTCGACGGCGTCGGTGGCGGCGGCCGGGCGCTCCCCCGTGGCTGGCCTGCCGAAGGCGCTGCCGCGGCCGGCCATATCGTCGCTGTGGATGGTCGGCGCCGCCGCTCCGCCCCGCCGCTTTGCCGGCACGGCGGCGGTGGGCGGTGTCGACGTGACCGCGCCGACGGCGACGCCACCGCCGGCGAAGAAAGAGGAATCGGAGAAGGAGGCGGCGAGCTACTGGGGCGTGGCGCCGACGAGGCTCGTCAAGGAAGACGGCACGGTGTGGAAGTGGTCCTGCTTCCGGGTACGCATGCACTGGCACAGCACGTTGATTAATTAATTAATCAGTTAACAAAGCTCCGTTAATCACCGTCGTTAAAGCTCGCTGGTTAACTCACTCTACTGTTGAACAGCCGTGGGACACGTACGAAGCTGACGTGGCGATCGATCTGACGAAACACCACAACCCGGCGACGCTCGGTGACAAGGTTGCCAGGTGGACGGTCAAATCGTTGCGCTGGCCGGTTGACCTCTTCTTCCAGGTAACCCTTCGCTTTCCTCATTTCTGTATCGTTTCTGAAATGAAATGATGTAGTACAATCTAATACAAATCACATGCAATTCCTGAATCTTTAACTATGCTGCTGCCTACTCTACATGCTTGCGAGTCGTCTACATATGCTTGGAATTTTTTTTCTTAGCATAGAGATCATTGATTTGTTTAACTGAAAAATTAATCAAGGATCATTTTCGAATCGGCGAACTTTACAGCCGAAGATCTGGACCGTCCAGTGAATTCAGTTCAGCTGGATGAGTTCGGACCATACGGCTGAGCAGCTTCGAAAGAATTGAATTTGAATGAACTCTCATACACTCGATCTTCGGAACAGTGATCTCCGGGCCCATTGATCCACTACAAGCCCAAGCTCAAATACGGTCCTGTTGGACTTGGGCCGAACCGTGAATACCGGTGAACTCTTTTGGGTAATCCTGTTGTTGGGTTCTATGGGCCCTGGCACGAAACAATGGCCGGGCCGGGCCGGGCTTGGTAGTCTTGGACTGGGCTTCGGGTTCCATTTGATATTTTTCAACCTGCAAGAAAGAACATGCTTGACTGACTGACAGACAGGTAACCATACTCTGTTTTCCCCTGTTCTTTCGAGCTAGTACTAACTGCTATCGTCATGACCCGGGTGAGATTGTAAATGGAACGAACGATTACTCTAATGAGATTTTATCGTGACGAAGCGATTAATTCGTATCGAGAGTTGATAATTGATCAGATTGCTAATCAACTAGTAGCAGCAATGATGAATGAATTCTGATGGTCAATTTGGTTGTCAGAGGAGGTACGGGTGCCGGGCGATGATGCTGGAGACGGTGGCGGCGGTGCCGGGGATGGTGGCCGGCGCGGTGCTGCATCTGCGTTCGCTGCGGCGGTTCGAGCACAGCGGCGGGTGGATCCGGGCGCTGCTGGAGGAGGCCGAGAACGAGCGGATGCACCTGATGACGTTCATGGAGGTGTCGCAGCCGCGGTGGTACGAGCGGGCGCTGGTGGTCGCCGTCCAGGGCGCCTTCTTCAACGCCTACCTCGCCTCCTACCTCCTCTCCCCTCGCTTCGCCCACCGCATCGTCGGCTACCTCGAGGAGGAGGCCGTCCACTCCTACACCGAGTTCCTCCGCGACCTCGACGCCGGCAAGATCGACGACGTCCCCGCCCCCGCCATCGCCATCGACTACTGGCGCCTCCCCGCCGACGCCACCCTCAGGGACGTCGTCATGGTCGTCCGCGCCGACGAGGCCCACCACCGCGACGTCAACCACTACGCCTCCGTACGCTTCCCTCACTCCCTCACCTTGTGTTGGACGATGCATCATGTCTCGCAATTTCGAAGCAAAACAAAAAGGAGAAGAAATTTGAACGAATTTTGCTAACTTTGTCCATGGCTGTGGATGTGCAGGACATACATTACCAGGGTCACGCGCTGAGGGAGGTGGCCGCGCCGCTCGGCTACCACTGATCGGACGGACGGACACGATCTATCGCCATTAAGGGATCAATAAATATCCGGAGACAATAATTGTAGTATTATTTGGACGCATGCAATGATCGTTGCAGTTCCTCTCAACACTTTTGTGATATTTCAGAATTCAGAATTTTTTACTCCTTGTGCTGTGTTCGTTGTGGTTGTATATACAGCTGGTTTGTTAGTTTACTGTGGTGTCGGTCTCAATTAAGGGATGTGAAAATTGATTGGAACTGTGAACCAATTTATTTTACATATATGATACTATATGTCTTCTTGTTGGTTTCGTTAGCACTGATGCAATTGCAGTCTGGTCGTTTTTCGGAATTTCTTCCCGCTTATGGTGGTATCCGTGTATAATGGATATTTAGGGTGTGTTTGAGGAGAAGGGATTGGGGAGATTGGGAAGATACGCAAAACGAGGTGAGCCATTAGCACATGATTAATTGAGTATTAACTATTTTAAACTTCAAAAATGGATTAATATGATTTTTTAAAGCAACTTTTCTATAGAAATTTTTTTTAAAAAAACGCACTGTTCAGTAGTTTGGGAAGCGTGCGCGCGGAAAACGAGATGATTTTCTCTCTCAATTCCCCAGATTGCCCAGGAACGAACGAAGCCTTAGAAATTTTAGAAATTGGGATTTGAGATACAGATGATGCCTTCTATGAACGGCATATTTTTTTTCAAATCAAAACAAATGGATGAGGTATTTTCGGCGCGTCCCACTTCAGCATCAGCGTCCAGTAGTTCATGCATGGGCGCCAGAACGCGATGTTGGGCTTGCCAGACACTATGGCGGCGGCGCAATACGGGTTTCTGTTTTATTCTTTTACAACATTATACAGCTCTACAATGTACTGCTGCCCCACATTTCTCAACACTTGTACAGTTCACTGATTTGAAAGATTCAGAACAGGAATGTTCCATCTTCTTTTTTTTTTTCGAATAAGGAATGTTCCATCTTTTTTTTTTCGAACAAGAAGGAATGTTCCATACTTCCATCTACATTTCCATGGTATATCAGTACACCCTGTCACTGCTTCTGATGGTATAAACAGGAATTTGAGATGCAAATAATGGCTTATGCTGTCATGCAACAGATGAACGAAAATTTTTGTCTCCAGAAATGGATGACATATACTGAAACTATCTAAGAATAGTTTAAAGACCGATGGGAACAATGAGAAGCATAACATGGACATATTCAGACGGTTTTAGGTAGCCTGACAAGAGAGGCGTCCGGTCCAACAAGGTTCAGGTTTACACAAGTTAATAAGAGATACCAACTTTAATAAGAGAAATCAACTTCTTCCTGGGCACGGTAGCACGTCGTCGATGTTAGACAATCTCAATGTTTCATCACTCAATGGTCATTCATGTCTCAAATTAGACATTTCTAACCTGACACTTATGACTCACACTATGAGTTGAAAGCTCCAAATTTTTCACACAGAAAATGTCAGTATAAAGCATCCGAATTCAGAAGGACCATGACATCCACAGTTTATACCTAACAAACTGTTCAAAACAAATCCATCGTTGTCCAGAACAACCTGAACTGCTGATTTATGTTTCATTTTAGCACTGCAAATACGAACCAGCTTCACATTTCTAGTTCATAAAAACATTGGAAACAATCTTTGAGAAAAGAAGAAAAATCAGAATGAACATGGAAGTCTTAAGTTATTAATCAGCTGTCAGAAGTGAGCTAGAAAACTTACAGGGTGCATCATTCAGTAACTAAGCTACGCAGAGATCAGACGTTCTCAAAGAATGTTAAAATGATTAACGTCACAACAAAGGAATCAAGCATTGAAACAGAGGCATCATGCATCAATAGAAGAAATAGTAACAGAGGTCACAAACTCAGTAATCAGCACGATTGCCATGGGTCAGGAAAACTTTTACCAAAACCTCCTAACCGCGAGTCTGAAATATTGCCAGAGATAAGCATCAGTACCAAAATTTTCATTCATGTCATGATGTAGTAACAATGATTCATGTCTCATTTCACCAGAGTACTGAAAAATCTGCACAATATTGCTGTGTCATAAGAACATGTGAAACAGTCGTGCAGAAATGATGAAAGAATCAACATGAAAATAGCAGTATTAAGTTACTAATCAATTTTCAGAAGTGAACTAGGAAATTGTAGCAAGGCATCATTCAGTAATTAGAAAAATGCAGAGATCAAAGTTTCTCACAGTAGAATGATAAAATGATTTAACAGCACAGCTGAGGCATCAGGCATCATATCAATGGAAGAAACAGCAAGACAGATCACAACCTTACTGCATCATCACTCATCAGTATCTAATCATTCATGTCTCAAACCTCACTCAAAACACATTGCAAATTTTTGAAGGATTACCAGATCTGAATTACCAGAATACCGAACCAACCTGCACAAAATTCTACCCATCCTGATGTTCCTGCAGTCTCAGCTGTTCCCCTTGTTTGATTAGTTGCTCCATAAACCACTTACGACTAAGGGCCTCGTATGGGGGCAGATAGAACCAAGTCCACGGCGAGGAGTCTGATGGCGGCTCTCGCGGCAGGCAGCGGACTATGCCCTGCTCGCAGCATCTGCCGGTGTCGCCGCAGGGGAACGGGCCCTCAACCTGCTGCACCTGCGAGGTCGAGCTCCCTGCGCCGTTGAACCTCGCGGAGTCATCCAGGAAGTAGATGTTGGGAGGGCACTGGCTAGATTTCCTCATCTCGACGGCGCAGGAGCAGCCTCGCACGAGGAAGATCGTCCGGTCTGCGAGGGTGTCCAAGGTGAGTTTCTTCCAGGACGGTGGCTTCAGCTCCAGCTTGAAGACGTCGAACGCCACCGTGGCCTTCTCCGTGGAGACGAACCTGACGACCATGAGCAGCTGCCCGCGGGATTCCACGAGGTAGCGGCCGAGCACCTCCCCTGGCCCTGGCATGGTGGGTCGGGGATTTCGGCGGAGCTGGTACTTGTTCACGGATGACATCGTGAGCTCGCCGTGCCTGTCGTTGGCCTTGGGGGTGTACACCAGGAGGTCCTCCTTGTTGTTGAGGACATAGAATCCCCCACCGAGCGGGCCGAAGAAGATGTAGTTGGCGTCCTCGATTGGGTCCTTGGATAGCTGCTTCTGCCACATTTTGAACCCCGAGTCCCACTTCAGCATCGGCGGCACCCAATCGCTCATGCCGGGGCGCCAGAACATGATATTGGGCTTGCCGGAAACTATGGCGGCGGCGTAGTACGGATGAGCCTGACATGGGGTATAGGAGAGGATGACGGCTTGGATGTGGTTGATGAAGGTGGTATCAGGGTTGTTGTTGCGGAGGGATCTCGGGAGGAGGACGCGCTCGCCGGTGCAGAGGTTGAGCAGAGCGGGGGCACGATTCCCCGGGACAGAGCGGTCATCATGCGGAATCTCGGCGGCGGCGACCCAACCTTCAAGGTGGGCGCCGCAGAAGCGCGCGCCGCGGGCGTTGTCCGGCAGGCAGGGCCCCTGGTGGGTGCGCTCGCAGGCGACGCAGAAGAAGGAGGTCGCGTTGGTGGACGGCATGAACAACCACGGTTGCATAGGCGGCAGATGCCGCATGGCGATGGTGCGCCACCTTGTGCAGACACCGGAGAACATGGAGTGGTCAGGGAGGCAAAGGAGGTGGTGGAGGATGCCGGCGACGCACTCTTCGGGGAGCTCCGCCCACGCCATGTTTGCGTCGGCCATGGGAGGGGGAGGAGGAGGAGGAGGATGAGTTTCTGGAAACTTTTGGATGGGATTGGGAATGGTGGGAAGAAGAAGAAGAGGGCAAGTGGGAAGATTCGTTGGGAAGGGAATTGCTGTGATTTTATAGGCTCCTCGTCTGAAGCCACGCGAATGCTAATCATTTTCTTCTTGCTTGCCAAGTTTTCCTATTGTTCTGCATTTCCATTGTTCTACACTGATCTCCAAGCATTACTCTGTTACGGTATCTGCTTGTTCTGCATTAATTTCAGTTTATTGTAGAAGATTATCTTTGTTTATACTATAGTGCTTTCTATATTCAAAGTAAAAAAAATTCTTCTGTTCTGATCTTTCACAAAATTTACACAGCTCTAAGATGCGTTGCTGTGTTACGAACCCACTCCATGTGATTTAGTGAATTTATGCACAAGCAAACAATTCTTCCTCCAACACTTGATACATGAGTATTTGGGGATACAAATAGAGGAAATGGAATCAAGACTGGGAATCAGCTGTAGGTTGAAGAAGAAGACATAGATAGAGATTGGAGAAGAGAAGAGAGGTACAGAGGTTGAAGAAGAGAGAGCATTAGAAGGAAGAAGTCAAGTTTTATCTGTTCTATTCTGTACTGTTTTGGCTCTGCTCCTTTTGTAGTGGCTGGAGTGGTCGGCTTAGCGCAGCGGATTGGGCCTAGCCAGCCCTGAGCTCAATATGCATACCAATCCGACCCAATTACATAACATTCTCCCCGCCTTGAAAATCAGCTTGTCCCCAAGCTGATGCAATTGAAGCTCAAGATCAGTGCCTCCAGGATCCCAGGGTAGCTGCAAGTGATCATCAAGAGCTAATCCGTAAGCACCAGCTGATCCATAAAATGCAACCACAAGAGACGACTCCATGCCAATAGAAGTGACAAAACTTGCACTCTGGTGGATGCATTGCACCTCCATTTGTCCAGAATTATAGTTAGGGATCTTGATACTAGTCCCAAGCTTTCTATATGGAAGGACAACAAATATGGTCAATGATAGAGAAATGCTAGATACTGTGCCCACTTGGATACTATCATGAGCATTCTTGTACTTGCAAACTGAGCTGAGATCAAGAGTATCACTCCCTCCCTTCTTCACTTCTGTAGAAATTTGGCAAGCTATTATAGTAACTAAATTGACAATACCTGGATCCCAAGATCTTATTCTTGTCATCTCAGCAATCTTGACATGCACAAGCTTCACTGCCAATTGCACAGTCCCAGCATCTAGGAAATTTATCAGGGCAAAAGCAGATAATAGCCATGTCCTCCCAACTGCTACAACATGGATCCATTTGCTTGGCATGACAGGAGTCCCTGTCACATCATACACTATATTTTCAGAAACACTGCAATATACAATGCTGATTTGATGACAGTATAGCAACATCTTATCAACACCATCAATTTGTTGCTTTATCATTCCTTGAAAAGGAAACCCTTGGTAAGCTGGAGCATCCACCATATATTTTCTCCATTGATAAGGCTTGCTCAAGAAATAATTAGCTGAGAATTTGAACCGACACCAACTCATAACTTGTTGAACCAGTAAATTTTCATTCTCAAATCGAGTTAGATTGTAGCTTGAAACTAGCTGTCCCAATGACTGCATAGGCAGAGCAGTATCAATCATATCTCCAACTAAAAGATTTGAAAAACTGTACCAACTGGACTTGACAACCTCACACTTCAGTTGCTCTTCCAGTAACATCCGTTCACCCAACAATTGTAGACCTTCTATGGTAGCCTTGGGGACCGAATAGACTGTTACGATAATCTGAATCTTTAGTTTCTGACCATGTAGATTCAGTTTTTCCACTTTAGCTTTAACTTCTGCTTGAATAGGTGGTGGCCAGGGCTGTAAGAGCTTCACCACCACGCCTCCGCTGCCTTGATTAAATATATCTGGCCATGGCAAGAATCGAAAATCCAGTGGGACTGCCAGTCTCCAGGGAGGTACTACTTGCGGTCTAGCTGTGAAATCTGCCCCTGAGACAAAATCATCGCAGCAGACCTCACATTCAGAAGAGACAACAGGAAGGTTGGTGACAACAATGTGATTGCTCCGGCACAAAGTCAAACACACATCTGTAAATGGTCTGAACACAAAAATGAGCTTGGTATCCACCTTGGTAAACTTGACACAATTATCAGTGACCATACCACCGACATCACCATCAACCTTTTCCTTTTTGCTTTTTGTCAAACCCTTGGTTGGTTTCACTGTCACCATACTAAGCTTGTTAGTGTTGACAAGATGAGTTGAGTTAGCCTCATTACTGACCTCTGATAAGATGGGTACTGGATCAATGTTAACGCTTAGTGCCGTGGCATCTCCATTGCAATCCACACTCACGGTATAATCCTCCTTGGTGTTACGGCATGTCTCCAACATTTTATTGATCATGGCCATCATCTTAGTGTTCAAGTCCTGAGTGGTTTTCTCTGATTTCAACACCTCCTTGTCCATGCCAGCCCCAACATCCTTGGTCTCGGTGGAAGGTGCCGGAGTCGTCATGGTTGTTGATGAAGTTGAGGATGCCAATGAAGCTTTAGTGGCTGGGAACACGCGTTCTGTTGCAGCTGGTATGCTCTTGGCCCCTGACGTGGTGGTGGCATAACTTGGTCCCAACGTCGAACACTTGGTGGGCATCACGTTAGCACCATTTCCAGGGAAAGACGCGTGTGCTGGACATCAAGCAGGCAACACCCATCGTAAATGTTGCGTTCATTGGTGTCAGATCGAGCCCTTTCTGCGTCATAGCTTGACCGGAACCAGACTAGCGCCTCAATGCCCCAACAACTCGTGGCGAGCACTTGCACCGCCACTGCTCCATAGCCGTTGTAGACTTGATGTAGTACCTCGCTAGTCATCGGGTAAAGGACTTGGCTCACTTGGACACGAAGAACAGCGCCAGCACCAGCTCCCAGCCAGCTCGGCATTTCTCCGAACACCTGGCAGGCGCCTCCAGTGAAACCACCTCCAATGCTTGGATCTAGCCTCTGGACGTCACTGCTGCCACTGTGTGTCATCCACCTTGCCTTCTGGTATGGAATCCCACGGATTGTTGGCTCTGATACCTTATTGTTACGAACCCACTCCATGTGATTTAGTGAATTTTTGCACAAGCAAACAATTCTTCCTCCAATACTTGATACATAAGTATTTTTTTTTTTGCAGGGTGATACATAAGTATTTGGGGATACAAATGGAGGAAATGGAATCAAGACTGAGAATCAGCAGTAGGTTGGAGAAGAAGACATAGCTAGAGATTGGAGAAGAGAAGAGAGGTACAGAGGTTGAAGAAGAGAGAGCATTAGAAGGAAGAAGTCAAGTTTTATCTGTTCTGTTCTATTCTGTTTTCTTCCCCATTTGTTGGCTCTGCTCCTTTTGTAGTGGCTGGAGTGGTCGGCTTATCGCAGCAGATTGGGCCTAGCCAGCCCTGAGCTCAATATGCATACCAATCCGACCCAGTTACATGACATGCTGCCCCACATTCCTACTTGTTCTGTTCTTTCACAAAATTTACACAGCTGTAAGATGGGTTGCTGCCCCACATTCCTACTGATTTGGAAGATTCAGAACAGGGAATGCCCCTTCAATCTAATACGTAGTTAATTTCTATAGGCAGACATCACTGTCACAATTTTCATTTCCATTCTGCTGATTCAAGTAACTAAACTGGTTTCATTTCCCACTTCAGTGCAAAAATTGAAGAATATGATATTCGTTCCTGGGCAATGCATACTGTACTTATTTCAATTTCAGCTGAGATTAATGAACTCACATACTCCTATTGTAAGTAAAAACTTGCCACAGTATTATCCAGAGAATGCCAGCTAAAATTAATGTAACTCCGTAGCCTTGTGATTGAAGTACTGAACCATTAACTTTCTTCAGTTGCTTAAGTTTAGGGATGGCAGGCAAGAGGCAACTTTCATAAGTCCTATGTCATTCTGAACAAAACACTGAAAATATACAGCAGTTCAGACAAGCAACTAAAAGCCAGTCATCAACAATTGATCAATCAGTCAACCTGTAGCAGTCTTCAGTTGCAACTCAATCAAGGGTCACACAAGTTAACGTGCCAGTAGAATTCTAATCTGCAATATTACAGGATATCAACTTCTTCCTGTTGATGGCAGCACGTCGTCAAATTCAGGCAACTCAGTGCTTCATCATGCAGCAACAGCCACTCATTTGAAACCAGACATCGAGTCACTTACAACACATTGTGAATTTGCAAGGTCAAAGTTAAAAGAAGTGTTCAAAAATGCCATTCATGGTTAATACACATGTACACTGACATGCCAAATGTCAGTTTCAAACATCCGAATTCAAAAACATAATGACATGTAACAGTTGTACTACTTGACAAACTAGGGAAAACAAATGTAAGAAACTGAAGTTGCCATGGCCCATGGAGAACCAAATCCATCGATGTTCTGCACAAAACTAAACAGTTGAATTATATTTTGCTTTACCACTGAAAATTCCAACCAGGTTCATACTTCAATTTCGTGAGAACATTCGAAATAATCTTTCAGAAAAGAGAGGGGGGGGGGGGGGGGATATCAACAAGAGAGCAGCTGCCATAACTCATAAGCTCAATCAGTTGTCAGAAATGGAACTAGGAAAACTTGCATCATTCAGTCATTAAACAAATGCAGAGATCAGAATTCATGTAGAACATTAAAATGATTAACATCAAAACAGATGCATCAAAAATCAATGGAAGCAATGGTAAAAGAGGCCGCAACCTCAGTAATAAACAGTTAAACACCATATTCAGGTCAGGATAACTCCGAACTGCAAGTCTGAAATATTGTCAGAGATAAAGTATCAGTACCAAATACTTCATTTATCTCATGAGATAGTAACAACGATTCATTAATTCTTCATTTCTCACTCAAAACAAATTGGGAAATCTAAAAGCGTTACCATCCCTGAATTAACAGATTACTGAACGTGTCCACAAAATTATATCCTGATACAGGTGCAGCTCTGTGAGTTTTCTCATCACTTGGAATCTTTGGATCAGAGCTCTGTGAGTTTTCTCATCACTTGGAATCTTTGGATCAGAGACCATCTATGCATGTTCTAGCCGATGGAAAAAACCCAAGTCCATCGCCAGGTGCCAGGTCCCCGCACCAAGCACCATGGAAGCTCGCGGCGGCGTCGCAGAAGTAGATGTGGAGCGGGCAGGGGTTGCACAAATCGACGGAGAAGTAGCAGCCTCGTCTGAGGAAGATCCTCCGGCCGCTCAGGGGCGCCGATTGCGAGCTTCTTCTAGTGAGGCGGCTGCTGCCCGTCGCCGTGCTCCAGCCTGAAGCGCATCAAACGCCGTCTCCCTCGTTGAGACGAACCTGATGACCATGAGCACGAGGTTGCGGGCGAGCACCAGGAAGTACATGCATAGCGGGCAGGGGGGACCTCTTCCTGATGTCGTCGACGGTGACGAAGCAGAATCGGCGGAGGAAGATTCTCCGGCCTCACAGCCTCTCGGGAGGGCGACACACTCGCCGGTGCATAGGTCGAGCAGCACGGGGCCGCGGCCGCGCGACTCGGGGAGCTCCGCGGCGAGCCAGGCACCCGGGAAGGAGCCGCAGAATCTCGCGCAGCGCGCGTCGCCGAGGAGCCCGGGGCGGTGGGTGTCCTCGGAGACGACGCAGAACAATGAGGTCGCGGCGGTGGACGGCATGAGCAGCCATGGGAGGTTACACGGCGGGTGCTGCTGCTGCTGCTGCTGCGCGATGGATCGCCACGGTTTGCAAACACCGGAGAACATGGCGTGATCGAGGATGCAAGGGAGGTGGCGGAGGATGCTGATGAGGCCATGGGAGAAGGAGAAGTTTTGAGTCTGCAAACTTTTTGGTGGGGATTTGGGGGGAGAAGAAGAGAGTAACGGAGAGATTCGTTCGGGATACGAGAAAGCAAAAAAAAATGATATGGTTACACGTTTTTTTTCATGAAGGTACAATAACATAACAGAGCCAGCTGTAAATATATTTTAAGAAGATAAATAAGAAGGAGAAGCGGGGTACAGATTTATAGCCAGCAGTAGTATGAACTCCCAGACGCAGTGTGAATGACAGGTGGGACCAGATATTAATAGTATAGTACTCCCTCCATCTACTTTTGATAGTCATAGTTCATCTTGACACACAGACAAAGGATAAGTAATTCTACTTATCATCCATTTAAACATGGTACTAGTCATTCCTCGTAACCAAGCGATTCATTAATATTTACATTTCTCAATACCTATGTAGCCAATCATGTGTGGAAAAATGGAGAGTCACGCAATAAATTCGAGAAAATCATTAAGAGAATAGGTTGTTGGATTGAAATATGCCTATCAAAAATAAAATTTTCAAATTTAGAAATATGACTATCAAAATTAGATGGAGAAAGTATATAATTATTGTATGAATGAGCTACTCCCTCTATTCTATAATGATCATTTCGTTGTGGTATCGAGACCAAGAAGAGGCCCACTACCTATTTTCTATTTAATCCTTGTAATTAATCTCCATATTAATTGGCTTTGAGAAACGAAACGGCATTACTGCCGCTGCATGATTACACATGCAAGGGATGTTCCGTGCTGCATGCAGCTCGAAAATCGCATGGCCTACTCGATCTCCGTGGTAGTAACTAGTTAGGCCCTGTTTAGATCCTCTAGTTTTGCCATTTTATAGTACTTTTTGTTATTTTGGATCTAAACACTAGTAGTAAAAGTTGACAATTTGTCATTTAGCATTTGCTAGTATATAGTAGCAACTTGTACTAAAAAGTGCTTTGGGACCACTCCCTCTCTCTTTCTCTCTCTCACTTTAGTGCTAGAATGTCAAAACTTTAATATGCATCTAAACACCAACTAATACTTTTGCAATGCCAAAGCTTTTGCCATTTGCCATTTGCTATTCCAAATAAATCTAAACAGGCCCTTAATCCATCCAACATGCACATGCTACCAGTGTTAATACGCTGATCAAATCGGAATATCTCTACTTTTGTTATGCGCTGATTATTATGAAATGGAGAGAGTATTAAATTGGCTATAGTTAAATTAGAACCAGTAGTTGATTATACTATTAAACTTGCTCTTATGTAGCTGGTTTTTTTTTTTTGAGGGGAAAGATGCAGGAGAACAGATATCTTCAGTTAATTAGTGGTATGCAATGGTCAGTGGGAGAAGCGGAGTTTCAGTTTCTGGTAATGTCGCAGAACACCTAAGCATTGCTGCTTTTTCTTAATTGGGTTGGCATAATAATTTTCAAGAAAATCATTCTCCTGCTGGGGATTTATTTTTTTTTCTGGAAAATCATTTTCATTGGCTGTTGGTATAACACAAGCACCAGCAAAAATTATTTTCACTGGCTGCCCTCATAAGGCAGCCGCTAGCGAAGACAATTTTCGCTGCGGCTGTCTTTATTCAGCTGCCAATGAAAATATATTTTTGCTGGCGACTGTCTTAAGACGGCCGCCAGCGAAAATATTTCTTCGCTTATAGTTGATAACCGCTAGCAAAGATGTTGATCTTCACTGGCCTTTGCTTTGTGGCGGCTCTAAATTCTGCCAGCGAAGACCCAAAATGGCCGCCACGAAAGATGGTTTTCGTAGCAGTCCTATTGCGTAGTTTTGATTGCCTGTGCTTTGTGAAAAGTTGTTGTGGATTGGGAATCATTACCAGAATCAGCCTATGTGGTAGATGGATGACTTGCGTGGTCAGAAACGGATGTGATCCGAGATGTATGCGGGCATCATAGACTAGGCTTCCCGAGTGGAAACAGATTGTTGTGCTGCGGGGCAGCGGGACTCCTGGAGTCCGAGAAAATAAAAAAGGCTCAGGGAGCCGCTTAATCAAGTGAAATGGCTCCGTGAGCCGAGAAGTAATGATCCGACCTAAGAAGTCGGTGCATTGCCATTTGAGTTGCTGAAAGCATCTCTCTTAAGTCGAATCGAGATGCAAGTCTCTTTTCGACCTAAACTTAAAGAATAAAATCACTTAGTGGTTTCAAATCAAGTATTTGCAAAACAATCTTGCCTCTCTTTCAAGCTTGCATTAAACACCTAAGTTCCCGTGACTTGCTGAGTACATAAGTACTCACCCTTGCTCTCTCTCTGTGTGTGTGTATATATATATATATATATATATATATATATATATATATATATATATATAGTTCCTTCACCCTGAAAATGAAGTGAAGAGAAGATTAGGGTTTCGTCCTGGTTCCCAGCCGTTGCCTGTGGTATTGGGTGTTAGTCCATTGGTTCCGCTGATGTTGCTGCTGCTGTTGTTGTTGGTGTTGTTTCGTCCGTGTCGTAGGTTGCATTCTCGGGCTGTCCTGAGTAAATAAGTCCTCTATATAATTTAAGGATTGCAATGATTCATAATTGTCTGCATGGTTACCAGCGCTATGTCCTTGGACTGGTACTCAGATCACGGTCTCGTAAGAAGCGGTTCGCGCCGTTTTTCCTACGACACTATTGGTATTTCTTACGATCACAGATAAGATCCGCAAGCGCACGGATATACCGATGTAGCACTTCCCCTACGGAGTATTCCAAGAGTATCGAATCCAAGGGAACGTGTGTGATTATCTCTTTCTCCGGTTCATTCAAGGACACAAAGCTAATGTGGGCAGAGGACAGAGGATTTCCTAATGAGAAACAGTGTCTATGGAAAGCTTAACTTTAATCCTAACACAATACTTCAGGCACTGGCAACCCGCTGTTCCCAGATGTTGCTCTACTATGTACCCGGACAGGGAGGACTTAAGTGCTCTTGAGGGCTGTCACCACCTCTACACCCACCTCAAACGTACTGTGGGATACGCAGCAACCACTGGAGATTAATTACCCAGACACCGCGTCTACGCAATTAATAACTACACTAGTGCTGATCAAACAATAAAGCATTCACTATAAATAAATAGACTATAGTGAACAATGATCCCGTATGCTAATTAGGAACTAACTAAGAAGTAATTCTCACTAAGCAAATCTTAATTATTCAGAATGATATTTCTATTAAAGCAGAGTAATTAACAAGATACAAAAGTAAGAGGAGATTACCGACAACTCCGGGATTTCTCCGATTCCTTCTACCTTACTATATCCCTATTATAATATATAATAAAGTACACTAGAGCCTCTTGTAATTCAGCTCATACTTTGGTGTGTGTTTACAAGTGAGGATGAGAGGGGTATTTATAGGTGGAGAAGTGCCTTGGGAGTGTGGAGATGCTCGAAGCATCCAAAGAGCATCTTCTCTCTTGTGTTGCCAAGTGTCCAAGCTTATGACGGTTTCTACCGGTGAAAACGGCCATAACCATCATTGGGAGGTGGATTGCTACCGAACTGGACTTGGGCTGGGGCGAACGGCCTCTGCCAGGGTTCGGCCGAACCCGGGACGGCTCTGTTCGCTCCAATTTTCGTCCTGGACACTCATTTTGGGCCCCTCAATTCATTGGTATGAATGTTTGGCCCATTTGGAGGTGTTTAATTGGGTTTATGGGTCCAAAACTCCTTAAGTTCGGATACGAGTTTGATTCTCATCCTCCTTCATGTATATTTCCTCTCAACCTTAGTAGTTTGTCACCTGCATATGAATATACACCAACACTCGTGGAAATTGTTAGAAATAAGCCCTACCACTATGTTGGATGTTTACAATTATGGTCTTATGCAGTTATTGACGGCGTTAATTTGGTACTTAACAGCCGTCAATAAACCCCCACACTTAGCTCTTTACTCGTCCCGAGTAAAGGTTAAGGATTAATGTGGAATAAAATTTCCCAAGATATAATACAAGTATACAAATTATTCTAAGCCATACCTGTACGTGTGAACTTTTGAAGTGTCTAACTTACCATCTTGGACAATTGATGAATGGAACGGTCGTGACTCAAGTCCTCCTTTATCCTCCTGTCAATCTCTTGGGTTTTTTATATATTTTTGCAAAGTAGCTATACTCCTCGAATAACTCTCTCAAATCACTCACGTGGTTTGATTTGTGGATCCTCACCAAGGCATGGTTGCCGATTTGTCCCTATTCTAAAAGGCTGTATAGGTGGAGCTCGGTAGGGATCAATCGGGGCATACCTGCATCACATATATTGCAAAGCCAAAATACCGGACCCAAGGAGATAGCAAGTCATACTCTCTGATTAAGAATGTGCATGTGTGTGATATGTGTATGGGTATGTGTATAGAAAATTTTGTGGATGGAAAAAGGAAAATAAAAGATAACAACTCCTTTGTATACCTCCTCCTCCAATTTTCTCTCTTTGGAATTTTGAGAGTGCATGGCTATCTCTTTTCTTCTCTTTTTTTTTCATCATGCCCCGTACTTTGTATGAGCAAGATTCAAGGGAAGGCTGTTATGTTGCAATCGGTTTTGTTTTCAAGTTTTCAACAATCTAATTGTGTGCTTTTCCACAACCAACAGGGTAAAATGTAAACAAATTGATTTTCAAGTTTGCACAACTTCTAGAGTTGGCCTCAAAGTTGGTTTTCCCAAAACCAAACCAAATTTCCAATCTTTTGGAGTTTAGTTGTCCAAAATAACCATTCACTTCTAGGGACTCCCTATCATGTTGTCTCCCTGATAGCCACTTGCTTTTCCAAACATCAGGTTTCCCAAAACACAACACCTTTTCACAAAGCAAGGTAAAACGAAAACTACGCTAAGGAATCACCTCATATCCACCCATGATCGTGGGCACGGCTATTTGACCAGTTTGTTAACCTCTGCAGAGGGGGTACACTTTACCTACACGATGTCACTAACCTAGGTCACCTAGCCCATGCAGAATAACCACGTCTGGTGACTTTGAGGCTTTCACGACAAGGCATTTCCAAAGCCGACTCAGGGTCACCTTATGCCAACGGGAGGGGTCCAACGAACCAACAACATTTTAGTTTCCAGACCATGTTGTGCCGGAAGCCAAGGGGACCTCCACAACACCACCCTGGCGAATCCACTTGTCCCTTGGCATCAAAGCTTCCCTGGCCTAGTTAGTTACTCAGCCTGGGGTGTCCCACTTCACCTATGCGGTCGCACTTGTTATATGCTTAGATGTAATCCCAAAGGAATCGGTCCTTAAAAGCGTGATCACTTACCCCTACTTGGACTATGGTTTTAATAATCATATTATGATCGTGAATATAATGGCCCATTGTTTAAACCGCTGCCTTCCTAGTGGTATCCGTGCATTTGCATATTTATCTATGATCGTAACAAATACCAACAATATTAGCTTGTCGTTTTGTGTACCTTGGCTTGATTCATGGGAAGGGATTTAAATTTTAATACATAAAATAGTTTGAAAATTGGCTAATTTTTGGGCGTAACAATTTTCTCTAAAGATGTGTTTTACGTTACACTTTCCTAACCTTACATCTTCGTTTTCCACGCACATGCTTCCCGAAGGGCTAGACAGTGTTTTTTTAAAAAAATATGTACAAAAGTTGCTTAAAAAATCATATTAATCTAGTTTCCAAAATATTTTAGCTAATAATTAATTAGTTATGTGCTAATCTGCCACTCTATTATGCGTGATAGGGGTTCCAAACCTTCACAAAGGAACACAACCTAAATTGTGATACTAACTGTATTAAAGTTTGTAACTAGACATGCAGAAACTGTACTCTCTACACTGAATGACCTATTGCAATCAAACAAACCTACAATTTATCCGATAAACCTATACAATTCATCCTTAGTATTGTAGTTAATATTAATTTACTGCATTGAAGTTGAGACAATCAGATCAAATTAGGAGAGCCATTAGATCAAATCGCAATGGCTTGATGTGCATCCCTCTCTATTCTTCTATCCAACTCTACATCCAAATTGTCACATTCGTTGGCTTCCACGACCATCAAAGCTACGAGAGTAATGCTTTTAATCTGGTAAAATTAATTACTATGTGGTGACTGTTACCATTCCCATTATCTAGTTTATATGTATGAGAAAGGTGCAGTGATGTAGTTATATCATGAGATTGGGCTATAAGCTAACAGTGTGGCTGGTCATTTGTGCAGATGAGATGAAAGGGCAACTTCATCTGAATGTAGACATTGTCTTCTCTAACATGCCTACGGTGAATTTGCCATCAAAACTGGATCATATTTCCTCAAAGCAGATCCTTCCATGAAGCAGGTGGTCCCAGTTCACCAAATAATTACAAAATGTGATGCATATTTTTGTGCTGATCAATAAAACAACAAAATTTAGATATCAAAATCTGCAACAATGTAATGATGGTATGCTTACTATATTAAATGTTTGTGAAGCAACTTGTACATCCCATTGGTAGCATATAGTACATCCGTAGCTCTAGGAGGCTTTGATGGAAAAAAGACCATATCTGTCTGTGCTATGCCATTGCTTTCTAACGTTTCTGAAAGTTGAGAAATTTTATGGAATAGCCAAAGATGAGAACAAAGGCGGCCATAAAGCCAAAATGGGCAAGTATAACATATCCTAGGAAGTCATGTCGGACGCCAACATTATCTTCCAAAATTTGGCTCATTGCTACATGGCTCCCACCAGGAACTGAAATCGATCCACCGTTCCCTCCAAACTGTGATGCAATGACACCATATATTGTCCAGGATACTGGGTTTGCCCAATAGTACCACCTCCACCAAATTGGTATTGCCTGTAACACATACACCAAGTTGATGAAGGAACCTAGATACACTAAATAGTAAATAAGTAAAATAACAACGAAAAAGAAAACTTTGCTTGCTTTACCTTCCTAAAAATAAGGAACCCAGCAAACAAGTTCCAAAGAGGGAGTGCAAAGGTTATGAGAATGTTCGCAAGCAGTGCAGATGGGGTGCATGCCACCAACATCATTCCGAAAAATGTGAAGTAGTTGAAGCTTGAAACAATGAAGAATAGAAAATAAAAGAATTTGCTAGCTTTCCAATCGTATCCGATCATTGCATAGATGATGACCGTGTACAAAATCCCTTGTATGATATTGTAAATGAACTCCACGCTTGCCTGCGTAGATCAACCATATAAAATCAACCACCACACCAAAAATAATGGTTGATTCTGCTGCAACTCTTTCTTGAGTTTGTGTGATTCACAGCATTTTGCATTCTATTAAGAGGAAAAAGTAAAACGTTCACAGTCTTGAGAATGGATGGATTTAGTGACAACTTAGAAATGATACAATTGTTTCTCTGCATTCTAAAAGTTAACAACTTTTCCAAGAGAATGTGAAATAGATTGTTGTCCTCAAATTTAAGAGAACTATTGTTTACTAGATTAGAATGGTATGTCATCAACCTAAGATTAAAAAAAGAAACTAGAATAAGTACACAAGTGACTACTCTTTGCTAATACTATTTTAAACTTACGTTTGTGCTCTTATATTTGCAAGCATATCTAGTTCTCTAATCACCTTTTATTTTAATAGTTTTTCAATATCTTGGAGTGCCACAGCATTGATGTCCCTTTTTATTTGGAATGTTTTGAATATAAACAAAATTGTCAGATTTCATTCAAAATGGCTGATAAATATAAACAAGCATGCGATGTTACCTGAGCAAATGCATAGGACAATGGAGAGTACATTCCTGCTGCGCTTTCACGATAGTAAACTGCTCTCTCAATTGATACAACAGGCTGAACTGACATGCAGTTAGTAGCCCCAATGAAGAAGATTGCAGCATAAGTGGCTCCGAGTAAATTGTACAAATCTTGCTGTGAGTCTCTGTGCATTACATATATAAAACACACTTTAGCCCACCGAAGACTATAATATGGTATCAAACTATATTTCCAAGTAGAGAACTTACAACTTTGTTCCTTTTTGCCAAAATACTGTGCCAAAGAAAAGGCCATAGAGAAACGTTGTTAGATAACGCAAGCTATTGTAAGATGGATTCTTCCAATAAGACTTATATTGCTTCCATAAGTTCGCAACACATTGGATATAGAAACTTTGAGAATATTTTGTAGCAAATAAGAGATCTCGATAGCCTGGTGGGGGAATGCTCAACTCCTCAATAAGTTCTTGGTTTTTCCTGGCATATTTAGGAAAGGTGAATTTAGTATGAGTCGTACAAATGACCGCTTCAATTTTTTAGAACTCATAATCATTTTTATGTAAACAAAAACCAATAATACAAAATATTGTCAAACAAAGTTTCAACAATTGAGAATGCTTACCTATAAAGCAGGGAATTGGCATAAATTTCAGCAAAATCTACGTTCATGCGAGCTTCTTCTAGAGTGGAGCTAACTTCTAGCATCCATGTTGCAGGATTATATCCTTCTGTAATACTTGGAACACCTAAAATTGTCTGCACAACAAATGTATCTTTTGTGATAAATATAAAAATTTGTTGCACCTTAATGGAGTTGAACCATGTCCATGTTTATTGACTTTTCATAGCTAACATATCATACTATTAATCAGAGTGTGTATTCAACTTCAGAAAGAAGCAAAACATAACTGACCTCAAAATATTCAACTAGTTTATGTGAGTGGTCACCAAGTTCACCAGCATAAATAACCCGACCTCCTCTTTTCAAAAGCAAAAGCTGGATTAAATAACCAATTGAAAGTTAATAGCATTTGTGGTACTCAAAAAGCTATGTATGAATAGTTCACATATCCATGCATAAATTGCACAAACTTAACATAGTAGCCAAACATAGAGACAATTGCATGTGTATGTGAGAGAGACCTCATCAAAAGACTCAAAAATATCAATGCTTGGCTGATGGATCGTGCAGACCACAGTACGCCCAGTGTTGACAGTATTTCTCACAGTTCGCATGACAATTGCTGCAGCTCTAGCATCAAGACCAGAAGTAGGCTCATCCATAAAGATGATTGAAGGATTTGCTACCAGCTCCACAGCAATTGTTAATCGCTTTCTTTGTTCAGTCGATAAACCGCTAACTCCAGGGAGACCAACCATAGCATTGCACAATACATCAAGCTCTACAAGGGCCATGACCTCCTCCACAAACATCTAAATTTATTAAAATTGTTTATTTGATCAGAAATAACCATGTTGGGAGTTTTAAATCTGCATATAAATGCATATTAAGTGAAAATGTGGCTTAGAAAAAACCTTTCTTGTATTGCTATCAACATCTGAGGGAAGGCGCAACCAAGCAGAGTAGAGAATGGATTCATATACAGTAACATTTGGTGAATGGATATCAGCTTGTTCACAGTAGCCGCTAATGCGAGCAAACGTTTCTTGTTTCTTGGAGTAACCAGAAAGGGTTATGCTTCCTTCAATTGTTCCACTAGTTTTCCTTCCTGCTAAGACATCCATCAAAGTGGTCTTTCCAGCTCCACTGACACCAACTAATGCAGTTAGAAGACCTGGCCTAAAAGCACCACTAATATCAGAGAGCAGTTGGAGACGACTTTCCATGAGTCCTTGTTGCTTCATTTCCTAAATGACAAAAGATAGCACATGTAACTATATAACTATAACTATATATATATATATATATATATATATATATATATATATATATATATATATATATATATATATATATATATATATATATATATATATGTACTTATAAATTGTCATACAAGTCAGAATTTATTTCAAACATGAAATATGAAATGGGTAAGGTATGCTTACTGAGGGCATGTCCACATAATAATTTAGATGGTTGAAACAAAGTGACAATGGTTGGAAAGGTAAGACAAATTGTGACTGAGTTGGCCTATTTCCTTCTCCGTTAGCACCTGCTGAAACAAACATTGATATTTACTATTGTTGGAAGTTTGTTATCAACAACTTGGCATGTTACATCATTATGGGAAAGGTCCAACAAACGTAGTTTGGACTGAAATTTTTTTCTGCATAATTGTATTATTTTAATATAGATAAAGATGATCTTACTCGTAGGTATCGATGATGTTGTGGTGGATGTTCGGGACCTATGCTCTTCATTTCTTGTTTCCGTGTACAACTCAGTTTCATTGTGTTCATCAATAACTAGTGCGTTTGCACTTCTAATAGCTAGGAGAGCCAATTTTTGAAGTATAAGTGCCCAACTGAATAGATAAACAAAGTAATAAACATGATGAAAAAACAGTGGTGCTTACGACTTAAGTATGTAAGTGCCAAGATGTATAAGGTGTTGAACAAAATAATGAATCCTACTAGGGCTCCAATGGATAGCCAAAATCCCCACTCTCCAGTGAACAAGCCTTTTGACTTTAGAATAGCCTCACCTACCGTTTTTGCATCAATGGTTGTGTCATTGTTTGGCTGTAATAAAAAAAAGCTCATACATTAGTTGAATTGTTGCCATATTTCAGGGTTTGTGGTTACCTCACTATGTATTTCATAGATGTAAGGAAAAATTACTGATAAAAACTTACAATGGCCCACCTACTGGCCAGAAATTCGTTGATCGATATTGCATTTTGGCTATACATCATAGGAGATGCCCAATAACACCAGATCCACCATGGTCTAATGTCATCTGGCCACATTGCAATCAAATAGGAGGTTAATATCACTCTTGCAAATTAAATGTAAGTGCAATTATGTGATTTCTCATGACAACTGAAATAAAAACAGATGTAATATGCTAGATGTTTACTTACTTTTACGTATCACAAATCCTCCAAAGACGAAGACAATAAGCAACACAAGCATCCCAAAACTAATTGCTATAACCATTGTTTGCAAGATAGCACCAAGAAATCGAAACAGAGCCATTGCCATTAGGTGAGTAACGAAGAAAGCTAGAAACTGACGAAAGAACCTAAAATTAATCAATAGATAACTTTTGTAAGATTCTGCAATGATTCATAGCACTAAAAGTCAAAATAAATATGTCAGGTATGTCGACGGATTTTTAGTACCTTCCTGCTGCTGGTGCAAATCCCATCACATAGTACGTGATGACAACCCAGACCGTAGCCTCCACAAGAGATACAGGAACCTTTATTAGTATATTTGCAACCCCAAAGGTCCATGGAGGGAAGAATAAAAAATCTCTATGCTTGTAGAACACAGGAAGCTTCTTTACTGTCAAGTTTAGCTCAGAAAGGCCATTGAACATGACTGTTATTAAATTGAATGTCAATGCCCCAAGAAATTTAGTGCCATCAGAAAATTGCCCATGGGGCATCTTTGTTCTAAGAAACACGGTCATAGACAAGAAAGCAAGAATGATCAATTGGGTGACCTTGAATATGTAAAGAAAAGAGTTGCGTTTCATCAACAACTTCTCTCTACAAAGCACAGCCTTCAATGACTCCCAGTTGGATAATGCATTTTTCATTGTTGTCAGTGCAGCAGGATGGATTTTTGATTTTTCAAATGGAATATGTTGCTCCTTCATCATTTGTTGGCCAATATAAAATGACTTGAAACGTTCTGCAAACTCTGGGACTGACACATAACAATAAGGCTCCTTGTCAAGGAACCAATATTGTTGCTGGTCTTTCTTGGAAGTGACCTCTTGAAGGAAGTCAGCCACTGCTTTCCTTTGAGGGCATCGAAAGCCAGAAGCTTCAAAAAATTCCAATATATTCTCGCGTGGCCCATGATAGACTATGTATCCTTCTGATAGTAGAACTATGTCGTCAAAGAGATTATATGTCTCTGGCGGTGGTTGGAGGAGAGAGATCATCACAGTTTCATTCATTATATGGACCAAATGCCTAATAAATTTTACAATATGAAATGTGCTAGAGCTATCCAAGCCAGTGGATATCTCATCCATGAGCAAAGCCCTTGCCGGTCCTGTTAACATTTCCCCTACCACCAAGAAAAGTAATAATTGTAAACGATATACATTCTATGACTAATTTTTAATATAACTGTCAAGTTTCTACCTGTTGTCACACGCTTCATTTGTCCACCAGAAATTCCTCTAATCATCTCATCACCAACAATAGTATCAGCGCAAATGTCCAGCCCAAGCACCTAACAATGTTCAATGATCATTTCTTGTTATTTCACCCCTAATAGATTACATGCAAAAACATAACAATAATATCACCTTGAGAATAAGATCTGTTATGATATTAGTCTCTTGTCCTTGCATTGCAGTAGCTTTCATGAAAGCATCGATCTCAGGGTCTGGCTTAATGCCTGCATTGCGTTCCCTTCTAGAGATTTCCGTGAGCATGTCGTATCTTGACCCAATACCTAAGCACCACCTAGAGAAATCTAATGTCTCTCTTACGGTCATCTCTGCATTATGGAGATCATATTGACTAACATAGGCACTTGTCCGCTCTGGATAGAACTCGGAAAATTTATGTCCACAATAGGTGATATTACCAAATACCTAGATTGTGATAGAATGAATAAGCAGGTAGCAGTAATGCATCATAAGCAATATAAAATAGTAATATTCCATGAGATGACTGGATTTGAATAGAACCTTGAGGTTTTTATCAAGTTTCCCAGTGAGCGCTCGCATAAGTGTGCTTTTTCCTGATGATGGAGGTCCAAGAAGGAGAGTCATCCTGAAAATAATACTAGTCAGATTAACCACTTTTTTCTACTTATCATATTATGGCATTAAAATTTCTTACAACTAGGTGATTCCCCGCGCTTTGCTGCGGAAATTACTAAGCAATTCTCAAGAAAATATCTACTTTCTTGTATATACATATATTTCTATTAGTATATGTATGTAAAATTGATTGAATGATGGTTGGAAATAGTAAATATGATATGATATCTTGATTGTATTATTGTCCAATTGAGTACCTGATTAAATATATAGCATTTAGATGGGGTGGTGATTCATGGCGTTGTTTAATTGGTGAGGAAGTGGAGGGGACTTTTATCTAATGGCTAATACTAGAAAGACTTGTCGATCCAACGGTTGAAACTATTTTGATGATGTGGCTAAATGTGGTGCCTGTTTGTGGTCTCACTTATATAGAAAGCATAGATAAGAAGATTGGTTTCTATCTGAAATGTTTCGCAATCTCCTCTATACCCCTGAATTTTGCCTCATCCCCTACATGCCCTTGAGCTTTTATGTTGATCTCCTCTATCCTTATTCCGTTAGTTGACCATGAGTTGACTGTTAAATTTTTCTAAAATGACCATATTGCCCATTTTCCATTGCTACAGTTACATGCTATCTACTCTACTTCATAATTCACAATATGAAAAATTGTAACTCATGATAAAATCAAATGGGACATAATTATTTATTTAAAAGAAAATTTAAACTTTTGAACAAATTTATTTTTTTTGGACAAAATCCATATAAGAGTTTTAGCTAGAAATTGTGAACCAAAATTATTTATTTGTTGGGTTCAAATTTTGATGAAAACAATGTACGAATATCATGAAATTTAATTTATAATTTATTTAAAAAATTTTGATTTATTTTTAAAATTGTTGTCAAATAATTATATTCCCTTTGTTTATTTACAAATAGATTTTTTTTCATATAAGAATTGTGTTTTTATCATTAAACTAGCACATAAGTATAAGAGAGGGGTAATATAGTCAATTTCAAAAATATTTAATGGTCAACTCACGGTCAACTAACGGAATGGGCATAGAGAAGATCAAAATAAAAACTCAGGGGTATATAAGGGATAAGGCAAAATTCAGAGGTACATAAGGGATTGGATGAATTCTCAAGGGTACATAGGGGATTTTCTCATATGCTTATTATACTATACAGTGCCCATGGTGGTGGCAGAATGTAGCCACCACCCTAAATCTATAAACAAATATATTGAGGTGGTAAATCGATCTTGCAACTGTAGGTGGACCTAAACTTTTAATTTGTAAATGGGCCACCCTCAACTATGGATAGACCCTCACAACACATTGTAATTACACACAAGTATAATAAAACCTTAAATCTGCACTCCTATTTCCCTGCCATGACAATTCATCCCTTATTCTCCCGTGCACTGCTCCCCTCTCCCCTCCCCTACACACACGCCTCTCACCTCATCCTTCTACCCCACCACCTAATCCCTAGCCACAAAAGAAGGTCCCATCCATGGAGCACACTAATAGTTCTCGAGGATCTAGCTTGTCTATTGTGGTGGTGGCTCCAGAAGATCTTGAACGGCTGCGGTCATCCATCCCTCCAGATCAGCTAGCGGAACTGTCGATAGCAGCCAACAACTATCTTTTATCGAGCAGATTGCACATTTTTCTAGATTTTATTATTGTTATGCACAAAACACATTGGACTAGGTATTAGCACATATTTTTTTACTTTTGACTAGGCATTGTTACTAAAGCTTTCACTTTGTACTATTTGTCCACAAGTAATCCAGTAAATCTTCCCCTCCCCCCATCTCAAGCTCAATCAATGGTTGCATCAGTGTCCTATTCCGCCTCAACCACGGTCAATTGAAAGGCAATCCTTGAACCTTTCTACGATGGTGCCTTGGCCTCTTCCTCCTCCCCATCCCCAAATCATGGTTTACTTCAAACCACTCCTTCTTTTTTTTTAGTTTTTTGTGTTACCAAATGTAAATGCTGCAAAATTTAGGTGCTAAATGCCTGTAGACCCCGTATGTAAATTCTATATTTCTAGTTGCAAATACTATAAGCTGAATGGTTTGTGAATGCAAGAGTAAGATAAGCATATGTCACTACTTTTGGAAATGATTCACGGTCATGATTTCTTCATGTATGGGCATTTTATTTATTAACAACTATGAGGAAACTAATGATTTTACAACTTCAGGGGAGGTATTTATAGTCACAATGGGAATTCATAGCTCGTGACTATAAACAGGTAGTGGTTTAGGATTTCAGAAGAAATGGGGTGCTGGTACCGCCCTCGGGCTTCAAATAGCGGTACCAATAAACAGGTAGTTGTATTGCCAGAATGCTAGGCATATTAGAACAATTATTAGTCATTATCTTAGGGAAGAAAAATTGGTTATGCTTAGGATTCCCTGGCATGAAAACTAATCAGTTACATTTTTCTGGTATTAACACTAATCACCAGCCCAGAAGAGGAAAGAACAAAAAGGAAAGGACCATGTTGCTGCGAGCAAGTGTTTATATGAAGAAAAGAATGGGAAATTCGTTTAATACCACAAAATATGGACATTTTAGTTTTACTGCAGCGAAATTTGGTAGTACATGTTGATATTCAAATTTTCTTCGATTTCCATTCTCAAATTTTCTTGGGTTTCCATTTCACCACTATTGTTCTTTTCTTCCTGTGCTTAAGGATTTTCATTTATTTTCATTTGGTGAAATACCAAATTTTCCCCTACAGAAATTTGTTCATCTCTAATTTCTCAACATGTGGCCTTTGGAAGAAGAGGCCCAGAAATCACTCACCACATTCCATCTCAACGTCGGATCTTGGATCTCGATCATCAGCTGGTTTGCGAGGTGAGCACCCTTTGTTGTCCAGCTCAACTCTATCAACCCTCTCCACTGGCCATTAATTGGTCCATATCTTCCTCAGCTCCTTAATTGCCTTCACTGAATGTTGACCATGCCACAACAGGTATGGCGTGAACAAGGCAGTTGAAATCAACTGTGCAGAGGTGTCCGGTTAGGCATTGAGTCGAGCATGTGGAACACGGCGGTGTGCAGAGGTATTCCAGTGTTGGAAATAGGACACGAGGGATGGATTGGGCAGAAGAGTAGCCTATCAGACGATGTGGATGAGTAGGGATGAGCAGAGGAGCCGAGCAGTACTACGGAGGGGCAGCATGGACATTGGAGGATCCATACAGTGTTGTGGAGGTGCGGCACATAAGGTTGTTGGCAAGCTTGGTTCCTCGGTCTCCTCCCCCTCTTCGTGGTACTTGGTGGTGCGCTCCTCAACAAGGGATGAGAGGATCAAAGGGACAAATGGAAGGGAGCGAAAAAAAGGAGAATATGCGAGAGCAAAGTTGAGTGAGGTAACGAGAAAAAAAATATGGAAACTAGCTGCCATGGTATTCTAATGAACAGAGAACTAGTTCAGGTGATAATCCAAAATAAATTATCAGTGGTATAAAGGTATGTAAATATGTCTTGGATGAAATTAATTTTTCTATAAAGAAAACAGTATGTCATGGTTGGTAACTTGGTATGGAAGAGCATGAATGGTATGTTGGTTTGATAACAATGATTTGTGGTCATAGTTATAATATAGATGCAACTACTATTGCATAGATGAGTGCAAATTTTAGTATATTGTACACGCAACCATAGGCAACAGGGAGGATAGCGGTTGGACAACTGAGCCCCCGTTACTGCTACATTGTCTCCTTTGGTGACCTGGGAGGTGATTTGCTCACGTCCCTCTTGCCCTCATCGCCAACCCATCACAACTGCCATCGGTAGCCTTAGGATCACCTCCCCTATTCCTTCTCCCCCTTGGTTTTGCTTTCCCCATTCTCCTGATATGCCCTTTCCATTTCTTTCATATCTAGCCTTTTCCCAACAGAGCTAGATTTCCTAGGTTGACTCCATAGCAAGGTGGTGGTGGGATCACCCTTGCCCTTGTTTGCAGCCGTTCTTAGCTAACTCCACATGTTGGGTGTAACGTGCGAGTGGCATCCCACGCGGTGTTGTGGCACACAAATGCACGTCGGCAAATGATCAGATAGTTGTGTAGAGCAACAGCTAGGAAGTGGAGTTGTGGCCATCTGCACGTGTGACCTAATGCGGCTTTGACCAAGCAACATGGTGCCCATGGTGGACCTGAGGTCACCTGTTGGAGTTGGAGCTTGCTTCGGTTGCCACATGGCCTGAGTGAGCTAGGGAAATGCTAGGTGTGTTAGAGGAGGAGCAGTAGTCATCCATTGTAGCGCGGAGGAGGTGGTGTTGGTAGAGGCTTGCGTGGAGGTTGCATCCAAAGAAGCAAATGCCAACGCTGCTTAGACCCTAACAGTAGTGGCAACTCATCTCCATGTCAAATCTGTCTCCAAATCAAGTTCGAGGGGAGCTTTGTGGCATCCTAGCAGATCTATTGGAGGTTTTTTGCAATTATTTCATGCCTTTTCCAACATGGAGTTGTGAAGGATTGGTGTGAAAAAGCATCATTCTCCATCTTGAAGGCGTTTTCGTGGGTGTCCTATCTCCTCCACTATCAAAGGCCCTCTAGTTGAAATCCTAGATATAGTTTATCAAATCGAGTTGTGATGTCAATATTGTCGACAACTCTTCCTTAGAGGCATTTCTTTGGTGATCCTAACCACATACATCATACTTGGGTGTTTGTCAAGTTGCTAGCAATGTCAATTATATTGGGAGCAACGATGAAACCTCTCCCCCATCTGATGGAACACGGGATTGGCTTTCATGGTTTGTTGGGCTTCTTTTGTCCTGCCTCAACCCTATCATAATGAAGTTGGTGGTCATGTAGTCAGAGTTGTGGCATCGCCGGAGCGTGACATGTTGCAACGATGGCATAGGTCCACTGGAGTTGGGAATGTGGGTTGGGTTCCATGGCATGCTTTGTTTCCTAGTTCTTCTTAGTGAAGTCAGAGTTGTCTGATCATGGGTACGATGTTGAGATGATGATGATAGTTCGTTGGTGTCTGTATGCAAGAGTATTATTGCCCTTTAACATTGCTACCCATGTTTTCATGCTTGGATTAGCTTGTTAATGAGTTGGTTGTGTCCATGGTTTTAGTTCGGTTTCCCTTGAATAAATATTATGTTTGGCCTCGTTTCACCCTAAAATGAGTCACCTTCTTGATATATCACTGACGGTTTTGCTATGATCTTTAATGAAAGAGTAAAATGCATTGGCGGTCCTTAAACTTGTAGGGTTGTGTCATATAGATTCCTAAACTCTCAAAATGCATATTCAGGTCCCAGAACATGTCAAAGTGTATCATCTAAGTCCCAAATTGACACATCCCCTGTAGGATCCTACATGGCGCTGATGTAACAATGCCACATGGACGTGACGTGTCCTTTTCTTTTTTTCTTCCTTTCCTTTTCTTTTTCATTTTCTTCCCATTCTTCTTTTTTTTCCTTTCTTCAACACGGATCATAGAGAAAGGAGAAGAAAGGGGAAAAAAGAGAAGAAAAACAGAAAAAGGGAAAAAATTAAATGGGTCCCATTTGTCAGTCAAAATAATGCCATGTCATGTCCATGTGGCATGCCACATCAACGCCATGTAGTATCCTGAAGGGGTTGTGGCGATTTGGTACCTAGATGACACACTATGACAAGTTCTATGACTTGGATATGCATTTTGAGAGTATAGGGACCTAAATGACACACCCTACAAGTTTAAGAACCGCCCGTACACTTTACTCGTAATGAAAACATATTCTACACCTAGCCATTTAACCATTGGTCCACAACTTCTTTAGGGTTGTGTAAGCTCTACCTATGGTGTACTAGTATTTTAGAGAAAGTATGGTAAAATTTTAGTTCGCATCTTATTTGTTAACTTTAGTAAAAGTAATTTTGCTATCTATACATATAAATTATAAGACGGTGACTGCACACCCTGATCTACTAATGCTCGATAAATGTGTTAGCTAGGTCAAATGACTTTGGGTATCAAATGTTGTATACTCCTTGTATTCTCATGGTATGTGAAATTTGATCTTATTGTTTTGAACAACATTTATTTCCTTGAGTCTATACCTGGATGACTTGAGGATGCCATTGACTTGCTTTAGTATATTGATGGTCTTCTTGTTTGAAGAACCAAATTGTCCAATAAGCCCCTGCCATTTAATAAAAACAACTTCACATTCTATTCATCACGAACATATAAATAACAAATAAGCCCATATTATACCCCTCAACTATCAGGCTTAACTTAGAAAAAGGGAAACATTCCATATTTAGTCCCTGATGTATATATGGTCTTGATTCGATTTTGGTCTCTCGACTATGAAATCAATCTTTAAGTAAAAAGTGAAAAATAGGAAACCAATCACTATTGGTCTCTGAACTCTTCAAAGTGTTCATGATTCGTCCTTAGGCCTAAACCAGGGTGGTTTATAATGATGTGGTGCCACAAGTAATTCTAGCAATTCAAAAATATATGTATAGGATATGAAAGAAAAAGGAGGAAACTGAGCTTGACATGTACACATTGTAGTATTTTCTTCTCTTTTTTTTGTTTGTTTTGTTCTTGTTTATTATTTATATTGAAGTCATCACTATTTGTCCATGTGGAGTTGTGGACTCTATGTAGGCATCACATCATTGAAAAAACACTATGGACCTAGGGGGCTTTGAGATTTGAGGAACTGTAATGAATGTTTCCATAGATAATGGACCATATCTTGCTAAGTATAGGTGGTACATAAGTAAAACATCAAAATTTTGATTTTAAAATTGTGAACTAATATTAAAACCAGATTGTATTGCACTTAGAGGGGTATTTTGGCCGGTTTTGATAGTAGAGGGGGTGTAAACTTTTATGTTTCATAGTTAATTGGTGTTTTTTTTACACAAACTCAATAATTTACGGGTGTAGTATATATAGATTTATACCTATAACTAAATAGCACTAATTTCTTATGTTACTTATTTTTTTAAAGAGTAACTATAAGTTAGAGGTGGTTAGCAATGGCAGGACATGAATAGGAGTGTGACTTTTTTTTCTCTTAGGCTAGGTGATACGCATCTTATATACTTATATAGTTCATCCCCACTTAGTTAATGTTATTTCTCTCTACTCTCATTAAGTCACATCAAATCAATTATTTCTAGCCTTTGGATGATACATCTATGGTTCAAATTTTCTCTTCTTCTTCTCTTATAAAACCATGCAATCTTAATTATTTTTTAGGTTTAAAATAATATCAATTTGTTTTAGTTTTGATAATCATATTACATATTTTTTTACATATTATGTAACTTAATTTTCCGTAGCAACGCAGCGGGGTATTTATCTAGTTTATTTAGAGACTATGACGTTACGGTTAAGACAATAAATACTCTAACCATTTATCTATAAAAATATACATTTTATTACTAGTCTTTCTTTTTTCCCCTCTCATACATCAAAGTTTCCATTTACAAAGGCTAATAATAGTTATTGAGCCATTGGTAACCGTAGTAATGATGTTTATCTATCCTCTCTTCTCCCTCCTGTATATCAGTAAATATTCCTAATAAACAAGGCTAAGAACCCATTACTAATGTCCACACTGTACATGCACAACCCATCCCAATGAATTTCATTTAGAAAATTCAATCCCTATGCATCAATTTATCTATTATATTATTAAATCAGCCTTAAAAGAAGACATCATGTTTGCTATGGAGGCTAGAAATTCCTACATTAATCGAAGAAAAGAAGAAATATCTAAACCATTAGATTTTAATGCATTAGATTAAAGGGTGTAGATTTATCAGAAAAAAAGTTCTCCAAGTATGAAACAAACTCTACTTAATACAAATAGGAGAGTCAGTCTTATCTCTCACGTTACGTCACGCGCAGGCATGCATGTTTGAGTACTGATTGTATTTGGGCTAGGATATTGTCCGAATGGGGGAAAGGGAAAAAAATGGATACCACATGGATTCCAAATAGGAAAAATAAAATCAAACGGACAGCTTTGATATACAGATGTGGAATCGGATTTTGAAGTGAAAAAATATCAAGAACATCCCGAGATCAGGCCATCGCTAAGTTAAGTAGCATGGTCACGGTGGTTAGCGAGACTTCTAAAAGTAAAAAATGTAAACCCAATGCTAATCATGTTTGATTTTTAAAATCTCAAAAAAAAAAAAGAGGGGAAGCAGCTGGTAGGCCGTAGAGGAAAAATAAACACCAATGATAGTCATGTTCAGTTTTTAAAATCTTAATGAAAATAAAGAGGAGATGCAGCGGGCAGCTCTAGAGGAGTACAGTGGCGAAGCCGCTAACGGTTTAATGAAACTTTTAAAAAGTAAAAAAATAAACCCAACCGATAATTATGTTTGATTTTTAAAATCCCAATCACAATAAAGAGAGGAGACAGCGGGTGGGCAGTAGATAAGTATAATAGCGAAACCGCTGACGGTTTGGCGGGATTTCTAGAATGTAAAAAAATAAACCCAAACGGTAATTATGCTTGATTTTTAAAATCCCATTGACAATGAATAGAGGAGGCAGTGAATGGACCCTAGAGGAGTATAGTGGCAGTATATTTGGTAGCACTTTTAAAAATTATAAAAACGAAACCCAACAAGAGAATGAACTCTAAAAACTACGATGTCCAATTTTTAAAGGTTCCAAGGACTATGGATAGAAATGGTGGTAGATCAAAAAAGCAAATAAAGGTGTGACAAAGAAGTAAGGGGTAACGACTGGCATGACTTTTAAAAATATAAAATTAAAAACACGGTGATGATAAGGTTTGATGTTTCAAAGTCCTAAGACTACAAGGCAACTATTAAACAAAATTTAAGTAAAATTATATGTAAGAAATAGATAATTTTATTTAGGTGCTAGCCGCGTAATTGCGCGGGCCACCTAGCTAGTTCTTTCTCAAAGGACCATGCAACTCTCTCGTCTAAAGGCTTAGTTCAGTAGCTCGTTTAGCTTTTGCAACTCATTTATCTATAGCACCCGTTCTAAACCAAAAAAACTTTTTATATATAAGTTTATTTTTTAAAAAATAAATAAACCAATTTTTAAATTTATTATAATTAATACTCAATTAATTATATTTTAGAGACTAGCCCTATTTTGCATAGCACAAACATTCCAAACAAAAAACCCACGTTTGAACGGACCAAATAGTTTGTAATCAAGAACCATTTAAAATCTTTATGAACCATTGGAAATGAACTAGTTCTATAATATATCTCTAACCATTACAGGCTAAGAAACATTAGTGGCTTCGGTTAAATGTTATGGCCTAGTTCTATAATTTGACTTCGTTTGATTCTATATATAATATACTATCGTATTTTGCATAACTTCTCTGTTTTACCATCGTCCTACTTCTACGCCATCGATATCGCTCACTGTGTAGATTTGCTATATTGAGGAATGATATTAATTATAAAATACACTTAAAATTTTTGCGTTCTATCATTAGATGTTAATGGATCAATTTATTCATTAACTGTTGGTGATATTTTCTCTCTATAAAATAGATCAGAGCAAATATATATAATACTTCCTGTCTATGTATATTGACGTTATTTTAGGACTGAGTTGGGACTGATCTAAGGTAGTACGTGCCTGGAGAAAGTTGATGGCAGAGTTGGAAAGGGTGGGTAGGGCGCGGCTGGCGACGAAGGCGTCTGCCTGGACGGAGAGCTCCTCGTACCGAATTTCGATCTTCGGAAGTTCAATGCCAACCCTGCGTGTATGCAGCAGCAGGACCATGTAAATAAACGCGAGAAATTGAACAAAGAAAATAAAGACTTAACTGGGCTTAGTTGGACTCAAACTTTTGGCGAGACATAAAACAAAGAGAACCATTATAGAATGATTAAGTAAGTACTATTGTTAACTATAAACTTAAAAAGTAAATTTATTTAAATTTTAAAAGAAATATCTATATAGAACTTTCTTTTCAAGAATATATCGTTTAGCTGTTTGAGAAAAATGTGTTAACCGAAAACGAGGTAGCAGTTGAGCTGAAAAGCTAAGTAGAAGACAGCGTGACATGTGGTACAACAACGTACGCAGGGGCGGAATCAGGCATGGGGCAGCTAGGGCTTGAGCCACATGACTAGCTCCATAATCCCATTATAATCTTGAAAAATACTAATTTATGAAAATATTTGAGATCTCATTAGCTCAGTCCTAGACGTGGAAATTTTCTGGCTCCGCCACTATACGTACGTACATGTCTATGCGGTCCCTTAGCCGGCGCAAGAACCGCTCGCTGTCGTCCTGCAAGAGGCGTTCCACGAGGGCGCGGGCGGCGTCGCCGGTGGCAAGCCTCCCGATGTCGACGAGCTCCACCGCCTTGCCGGTGCCCGCGTCGTCGTCGTCCTTGTGGTCGTCATCACCATCAC